CTTCAGGGCTAAGTTTCTTGCAGCCTTCTTGTCACCAAGAATACCCAATTAACATCAGGCCTTTGTATAAAAAAAATTTAAAAGGGGAAATTACACTTGGGTAATCCTCTTTGTCTTAATTTTCCTTGCTTTGTTACTCCTTGGCTGAGTGAGCCCGTAATACATATTTATAGCAGGCTGAGGGAAGAGGAGGTATGTAACAGCTTATTCCACGCAGCCGTCTGGACCTGACCCACACCCCTCGGTTTTGTTTCACTGGACATGGGGAGTCTTTGCAGAGAGCGATGGGGGCTTTCCACTCCCCTCAAGCATGTGAGCCCATAATGCTGATTTTTTTTGTGTTGGTTTTTTTTTTTTTTTAATGACACAAAGTTGCCTGAAACCACAGAGAGGATGCAGAAAAACTAAATTAATATCAAAAAAGCTAAATTAATATCCCTGGCTGATTCTGGATAAAAGGGAAGTAAAACAGGGCAGCTTGCGTATTTAATGTGCATTGGTGGATGAGGTTGAATACTTCAGATCAGAATGGGTTTTAGTGTGTTCTGCTCAGGTATGAAAAATGAGAGATGTTGCTGGTTTTGTGTATCTGGGTGAGCGTGAAGCTTTGCACTGGGGTTTCTTGCTGAAGGGTAGAGAAGGTCCCAGTGCCCTCGTGCTGCTGAGCGATGATGTGCCCGTGTGAAGGAAACTCCGTGGTGGTTGTGGACTTGGAGTCAAGTTTAGCGGTGACTTAAGTAAGCTAATAAACTGGAATTACATCAGAGGCCAAGGTGTGAACTGCGTTGCTGAAGTGATGGGGATATTCCCGACAGGGTGGGAGGATGCTGTACACCCAGCAGAGGCAGGAAAGAGGCAAACAACACGTCTCTTTGGTGCTGGGAGGTCTTTACCCTTCTCCTGTCCTTGTCCCCTTGCCATTTTGGTGCTAAAAGCTGAATTCTGCAGTTCCCCTTCCTCCAGCTGGCTTTGCCCAGCCAGGGCAGTGCGTTACGCTGGGGTGAGTTTGGGTTTGAGGGGTTTTGGCCCCATACCGCTTTGGGTACCGCTCTGTTTGCAGATGGGGCTGGAGATGGAGGTAGCTTCAGGTCAGACAGTCAGAAACAAGACCAGCCATTTCCCAGAAGGAAACCTTAGCTGTGACTAAGGGACGTGGTTGATGGAGTTCAGGGTTGTGGTGGGGAGAGTGTGAACAGGACGGGATTTCTGGGTGGCAGAAAGCCCCGGGAGGCTGGAGGTGATGCTTTTAGCTCTGTGTCCCCTGCCAACTCCTCCTCGATGGGTTTGCTTGGGGGTTGCATGTGGCCACAGGCTGTCCCCACCAGCACTGTGGAAGTCCCCTGGCAGAAGAAGAGCAATGTGTCGTCCTTCAAGCCATCTGCTTTGTGGTAACTCGGCCTCTGCCAGGAGACAGTGGATGGGAGCTCCAAATAACTCCTGCTCTGTGTGATCCCATTTCATTTCATCCACGCTTGCTCCTGTTGATGCTTGTCCGGACTTTCGCTGCCCTGTGATGGTCTGTGGTGGAAATAACCCTGGTTGTGGTCTTGCTCCTCCATCCCCTCCCAGGAAGGGCTCCATCCAGCCCCATGTTCCCATCCAAATCTGGCAGGCCTTAGCAAATCCTTCAGATTTGCTCCGAGGTTTCAAAAAAAAAAACCTCCAAAAGCAGGTTTTCAGATAAATTGCCAGGAACTTCCCATTTCTTATTAATAGCACTAATTCCTGTTTTAGGGAAATTCTGATCCTTTCAGCCCCCAAGCACCCCTTTTGCTTTTTGACCTTCTCTTATTAACTAGGTTTTTCTTTCATACCGAAGGCAGAGGCGAAGTTTGGAGCGCCCCAAGGCTCGCCTCTGAAGTACTTAGGGGATCCTCAGCACCCTGGTGTTTGAGCACAGTTTTCCACCTACTGCATGCTCATAATATGCCTGTGGAATATGAAAAGTGCTGTTATCCTCTTTTTTTTTCTTCATGAATGGGGAACTAAAGAGCAATTTTTCCAGGCCTTTTATTGCGGCAGTAAAAGGAGCTCAGTCAAGATCCTGACGCTGATAGTGTAGGGTCTGAGATGCATCTATTCGGGTGGGGTTTGCTCCTCCAAGATATGGAGGTGTGAGCGTGAGTTGGGTGCTGGGGACTTGAGTGGCACCCAGCACACCCCGTACGGTGCCACGCTGCCTTTGCACACCTCTTCCAGGGCTGAAGTGTGTAGATTAGGCACTCAGTTCAGAGCTGTGCTTTGGAAGGAGTGAATCAGTATACAAGTATGTTTATTTTTTAATCACTTCAGCCCCAAAAATGTCTGCTTTATTGTGTATTCAAACTCAGGCTTAGCTTTTTGTTCCTGATTTTTAATTGATACTTTGCTTCCTCAAATAGGAATGACCTTTGCTTCCTCAATAGATGACCTATTTAGTCCAAGCTTGTGGGATGGAATGGTTTGAGGGGATGTCAAGGCTGTGCAAAAGAGACAAATATCAGATTATCCAGCAGCAAATTTCTTTCTTAAGGGGTTTGATGTGACAGAGCCTCAAGACTAAAGATGTTAGGTTTCAAGTCTTCCTGGTAGAACTAAGACTAATACTTTATAAGATATAATACTTGGAGCTAATTTTGTTCTGCAACAACATACTGGAACCTGAGTTTTCCACTGTCACCTGGGCTGGGCTGAGACTCTTGAACATGAAAATAATCCTGAGCCTGAACCGTGGCAATAGAAGCATACTTCTATTTCTTTTGTATGCTTTAAAAATGCTACTCTCCACAAAAGCTGTTTTTTCAAGGGACGTTGTCTCTACACTGCGAAATTGTGTTTAAAGATATCAGGGCCTCCAGCTCTCTCTACCACCACCTTCCCTGAATCCTTTGGGAGTATCCTGCGTGCACAGTTTATTCTCAGTTGCAGATCACTGGGTGCACAAATACCATGGCAATAAAAATTCAGCCAGCCTAAGCATTGCAAACTAAAAATGCAGTTCTCTGCTAATGAACCGCATAGATATTTGCTTGCAGGATGAAGTGCCTGCTGTTAAATCACTGCAAATGACTGTGCAGGATGGGGTTGTGCTATTTTACAGCTCCAGCTTTCCAGCTCAGTGGTGGCTGCATTTTACCTGGAGGGAAAGCACCTCCTCACTGGTGGTGTATTTTTGTTATTTTTTTAGATCTTTCTGGGCAGAACATGCCTCTTAATTTTGATATGTTGGTTGTTGACTCATCTTTCTCCTGAGCATAGAAATTATCATCACAAACGAGAGAACCAGCCCAATGGTCCATTCGCTGGGCTACCTCAGCATGGGTTTGCTGTGGGGATCTAGAGAGCTGTAACTCGTCCCGTAGCGTCGCGTGCACAAGTTTGCGTGGTGTGGGGTGTGCGCCGTGGTGACGTGGCTCCGTTCCCAGACTCGGGCTGGTTTGCAGATACATTCCCCAGAATCGTAACGTGCATTAGCCAGTGCCGAGCTGTTTTGGTACTGCTCTCTTCCATGTTAATTGGCTAACAATTTGGATAATTTGGAGCATCTGCTCCATTCAAATGACATGATATTTCATTTCCTCTAAAGAACCCAGTGTGTGTTCTTTCCAAAAAGGGGTAAATATAATATTTATGCAACAGCCAAACATACTAAATTGGCCAAAACGATGCTTCCCCCTTATCAGCTTTCCAATGAATTCTGCTTTTATAGGCAAATGGTGTCATTAAGTTATTTGTGGTTTCAGGGAACCCGGCAAGAGCTTCATTCCCTTTTGTATCAAGGCAGTGTAAACTGCTCTGGGTGTTTAAAAGGGATCATAAATGTGTATTAAACCCCTTTCCAGCCCTCTGATGTTGCAAAGTCCCACGAAGCACGCTGGGTGTGACTTCCAGCGCTTCATTTAGGTACAGGCAGAAAATACCTGCTGTGGCTGAGCCCACGGGCAGCGGGTCCGAGCTGCAAGAGCCGCGCAGCGTTTTCCAGGCACTTTTACACTCTTCAAGCCATCGAATGCCTCTCTCCTCCCCAAGCCTGGAGGTTGCTGCGGCGTCCCTCCCTTCCCGCAGCCTTCCTCCCCATGCTGCGCCCGGCCCCGCTCATCTGTGGGCAGCAGGTTGCCGTTTTCCTGTCCTCTCTTCCCGCCCAGCTTCCCGGTTCCCACAGGAACCGGCCCCTGCCGGCGGAAACGGAAACGGGCCCAAGATAGTCACGGGGAGGGGGACAATGTCCATTTGACGTCATGTCAGCTTCGTCTTTTTGGGTCGAGCCAGGACCTTGCTTTTCCCTCGCTGGGTAAGAGCGACTTCCCGTGCCGTGCGACAGGGCGGCTGCTCGCTTACGTCCCTGCAAACGCCGGGGCTGGGGCTGGGAAATGTGATGGCAATGTTAGAGGATTGCATTTTGCATCCACACCGTCAGCGGTTGCGGCTGTGCCTGGAAATCCTTGGGGCTGGCTCTGGAGGTGTGGCATGCTGTGTTGATTCCTGGTTTTCCTCTGAGAGATGCTGTGGGTCCTGCGTGCCCCGAATTTGGGACCTTGCTTCTGTTAGGCACTAAATAGCTGTGGGGAGGAATTTCCAGGGTGTTGCGTGTGACTTTGATGGACTTGGAGGCTGAAGCAGGGCTGGGGGATGAGCCAGGATGCGAGGGGTCCCAAGTTCCTGACCCTGGCTCACCAAGGGAGGGCTGTACCCATCTGCCTCTGCCCGCATCCCCTCCGTGGGTTAAAATCCCTCCAGCTCCACTCCTCTTTGCATGATGGAGGCCACACGTTTGCAAAGAGCATCCTTCTTCGTTGACAACTCCCCCTTCCTTTAAGCCATGGGGGTGCGGGTGCCCCACGGCCAGCCCCACAGAGTGGGTGCTGCCACGCATGCATGTTTTGGGCACAGCTTCTCCTTTGCTGCCCTCAAATTAATGCAATCTTTTTGTTTTCTTCTCTTCCCCGCAGTTTTATCTGCAGGCCAGATTCACGTGGAAGGGAGCCCGCCTGCTCCGTCCCCTCCTCCAGTTCACCCTCATCATGATGGCGTTTTACACCGGCCTGTCCCGTGTGTCGGACCACAAGCATCACCCCACCGACGTGCTGGCGGGCTTTGCACAGGGAGCCCTGGTGGCTTACTGCGTGGTGAGTACGGCAAACCGTGCGAGGAACGGCAGCGGGGATGCTGGTGGGGGTCCCGGGGGAATAGCGGGCACCTCCCCAGCCCGTGCTGCTGTGAGCTCATGTAACCCCCCGTTACAGCCGGGAACGTGGCAGGAGGCAGCGTGCTCCGGGGGCTCGGTCCGGTGTCATCCCCGTGTGACAGTGCGTGTAAACCTCGTTTGCAGGTGGAGCGCGGCTCAAGAGTGGAGCGCCCTACCAGCCCAATGATGGGCACCCAGCAAAGGAGAGTGCACCCGCCAGCGCTTTCCCCTCCCCATGAGCAAACGCCGTTGCTGTGCTGGAGGGGTGAAGCAATTCCTCTTGTCCCCCACCAAACAAACTGCATATTCAGCAAAAAAATGCAACATTTAGGGTTTTTCCCCATTGTCCTTGAGCTCCTGGAGGCTCCTAGGAAAGGGGCTCCTTCGCCCAGGCAGCTCAGGGCGCTGAAAAGGCATTCAGACAGGGGAGAGTATTTCCCTCTCGGCCCAGCAGCGTTTGCTTCTCCAGCTGCTTTTGGTAATGAGCGCTGGCTCGTTTGCAAGGCTTTCCGCCAGGACCCAAGCAGGGAATCTGGGGTGGTTGGGATTACGGCTCTTCCCTGCACAGTCCAGCCGAAAGCCATCCCCTGGGAGGGGGAGCTGGTGTCTGCCCGGTGAGGGGAGGCAGGGTGCCTCCTTTGGTGGTGGGTTTTTAACGTAGCGAAAGGGCTCGTGAGAAAACGGCGAACAAAAGCCGTGCCCGCTTGTCTTCGGCTGCCGGGCTTGTTCTCATGAAATTTGCTTTCCAAAGAGTGACCTGATTGCGCAGCCCTGTAACTCGAAGTGACACATGTAGATGTTTAAAGTAGGCAGGGTGGGGGGCAGCAGGTCGCTGCCTCGCATAGAAACAAAGGGGCTGGGGGTTATGGTTGTTCCTGTGTCTGTATGAACTCCTGAAAGCAAGATTTTAACAGCTTACCAGCCAGCCGGTTTTTGGTTTGGTTTGGTTTGGTTTTGTTTTGTTTTGTTTTTTTTTAACTGATCTAAAAGTAAAGCAGCCCCGGAGGCAAGGAATTAAGCTCGTTAATGTTATATTTTGCAAGGAGAAAAAATAGGTTATTTATGTACTTTCCACTCATTGATAATATTCCAAAGCCAAGACAAAAATGTCATTGTCGGGAAGGTTTGATGAAGTATTATTAACTCTCTGAGCAGTAGCTGTTGCGTTTTGCCATTGCCTGATGCCAACATCCCATGCGAGGCTGGCAAATTCAGAGGGGGAAGCTAGAGAAGTGTGTGTGTGCACAGAGGCTGCTGTAATGCCCGCTCGCAGCAACAGCGTAACAGGTCCTGTGTCCTTCATTCCAATATTGTCAGGGTGTTTCTCCAAATCCTGGTAATCTTCTCCTACCCTAGCAGTCAGCTGTAGCACCGCGATGGCAGTGCTGGCAGCCCTGGGGAGAAAAGGCCCTGGGCCACGTGGGGAGCAATGAAGCAGCTCGTCTCAGCCCAGGTGCCTGAATTTATCGTGTGGGTTTGTTGAGACACCGAGTGCACATCACCAGGTGGTTTTACAAGGGGGTATTTACCTCTCCGTGTGCCTTTCTGCCCGAGAGGTGGGATAACAGCAGTACACAGGGGGAGTAGGGACCAGGCGATCCATCCCTGGATCCCAAGCAGCGGTTTCAGAAAGACAATAGCTCTCCAGATGCTCGGGACAGGCGTCCGGATGCTTCCTGGCTGGGATGAGCGGCAGGGCTGGCCATCCCCTCCCAGCCCTCCGGCGTGCTGGGCAGGGGAGGCTGTGGCGGCACTGGGATGGTTTTCCTGTGTCGAGGTAAACCGACGTAGGAAGCAGCTCCCTGGAGTTTCACAGGCAGGCTCGGCTTTGCCTGCGAGCCTGGGGCAACCTGCGCTGCTCTTCCCAACCAGCTCGTGGAGGGGGCAGTTGTCTCCAAACCCTTTGCAGGCATGGCTTGGTGGCTGGGGACATCTCAGGCAGCAGCTTAGGACTCGGGGCAGGTTTAAACCCAAGCCTTGTCCTATTTCTATTGCAAAGAACCATCAATACGTTCTTGTTCTCCCGAACCTGGCTTTGCTGGCGTGAGCCATTGCCTAGGAGGGGCTGGCAGGCTTTCCTCCCTTTTGGGAGATGGCAGCAAGGGACAAGAGGAAGAATCACCCCGAGACTCCCTGGAGTTTGCATTGAATGTATAGTTTAGCAGCTTTTTGCTAAAATTACTGGTATATCAGAGCAGTTACTGGTACGTCCTGGGGGTCCTTGCCCAGCTCTCGTGCATGGGATGCTCTGAAGCAGAGGGAGGGACCTGGAGACTCACCACCTCCAACCCACCCTGGGTGCTCCCAGACACCCCTTCCCGCAGCAAAGCCTTCGAGAGTCCACTCTGATGGTAGTCAAGGGCCGTTAAAATACCATAGCTATCAGGCTGTAATTTTCAGTAGAAACCAATTGTGGGTTTCATCTCCGAGGGCTGCCAGAGCTTAAATCCAGGTTGTGCTGCAGCAGACGCATTTGTCCTTTAGTGCCTGAAATAACAAGCAGAAGACATTAGTGTCAAGCGCTTCCAGCTGATGAAACATTCGGACTCAGATCTAGGGTGAAATACGATGAGGACTTCTTAAATGGAAATAGTTTTTATGCGCATTGTAGGCAGCCTGCTATGTGTCATGTAGTTTATGTCTCATCTGATGGAGAGAGAATAGGGGAGACGAGGGAAGGACGTGCTCCTGGTGTTGCTCTGGTTAGCGTAGGTGAGTTGTTTTAACCTCTCTGTATGTGATTAAAGATTTCTTCAATATAATGAAAAGGAATCGGAATTGTTAAGTGGCAATATAGGATATTGGCTTAGTTTGTACAATACACGCTCAGTCTTCTGCCATCAAGTTTTCTTTATGGGTGGAGAGCACCTTCTACAGGAAATGGAGCTAATCCAAGTGAAAAACTTTGCACGTTTATTAGTCCTTTTTTGTGTTAAACAGTTCAAGCATTAGGAGGATTTAACACACTGTTTTAACCCCCAAAGATCACGTTTCATGATTCCTGTAAAGTGTTTATATAACCTCCAGCCATGTTAAAGTGAAATACAGTTTAAAGAGAAATGAAACCTCTTACCCAGACTCTGAACTAAACCCTGAAAAGCAGCGAGCAGCACAGTAAAAGCTCGAATACCCAGGATGACACTCCACCATAACTCATTCCTGTCCAAAATAAGGACCAGATTTGGTGTAATCCCCATATGCTTCTTGCACTCAGCAATCTCCTCCCATAAATTGATTTGTCATGGCTATCTTGGCGCAGAAATTGGACATCTTTTTGATTAAATCCAGCTCTCCGAGGTGGGCAAGTGAGCGAGATGGCATCACAAATGCACCGAGCCAGCCGAACGGGGGTTTTACAGTTATTAACGACCCAAAAGAAAACCCTTGCCAGAGCAGTTCAACATGCTTTTACACTGCGATGCTGCAGCAAGAGGCCGGACTCCAGCTTGCGACCCTCGGCAGGTTCAGCTGGATCCTGTTATTTGACCAAAGGCACAAACGCTGCCACTTGGATGCCCTGTAAACAACTTTATCAGCTCTGTTATACAACTAGGCAGCCAGACACCAACACATACACGGAAAAAAGAGCTGGTTTATATGTCAGCTCCTTCTCTGCTTCTCCACCAAGCAATAAAAGCCGAGCAACAACAGCTCAGCTTCCTGCATCCCTGGTTATAATTGTAGGAGAAAATTGCCACTTACAGCAGGTTCACTGTCTGTTCAGCTCAGTTCCTTATCTGCCCCTGCTGATAGGGACTTGCAAAAGTTGTTTCCAAGGACGACTAGACCTGCTGTGTGGGGCTCTGGGTAGCTAGGAAATGTGGAGACGCAGAGTGGAAAACCTTTGCTCCCTCCTGTGTTACCCAGCCTGCATGTGCTAATCTAATATTATTCCTTTGAGCACCTTGGGCTGAAGGTTTTTTTCCCCTGATTTATCTTGTGGCTTAAATGTTGCGTCCGAGTACTGTGGGAGAAAACTCAAACGTGGTGCTAATTCCTATGACCGCGTGCTGCTCCTCCCGGGGCTTGGGCTCGGCAAATGCATAGCTCGGTCCGAATTATCGGTGCTTAAGGATGTCTGAGATGAGCCGGCAAATTTGGGCTGGCAAAGGCAGTCGGCAGCAGGACCGAAGATTGGGGCTTGGGTGCCAGCTGTCAAAATGATGAGTCCTCACCACTTTTTTCCCCGTCCAGAGGATCCGCGCTGTCTGACTCTTTTCCTTTCTGGCGCGGGGCTGAGTTTTGGCAAGGGAGAAAGTGCCCCGGTCCTGGAGGACCGATAAGCTTTGTGCAGCGGCTGCCAAGGGAGGATGTGGAAGTTTCCTCCCAGCATTTTGTTTCTTATTGTGTTGCTACCTCCCGAAATTGCCAAGCGCTGGCTTTTTCACATCCGGGAGAGGGGTTACATCACGGGATATTTAGGAAGAAGTAGTCGGGAATAGCTGCTCCTCTCCTTAGGCTTTGGCTTCAGGACCAGACCCTGGCTCCATACCGGTGCCTTGGTGGGGCGTGAGGAGAGCATCACTCACTGTTGACTCATTCCTGATAACTTTTAATACAGCTTTGATTTAATAGCTTTTAATTGCCTACCTGATGTCTGGCTGAATGAATTGTTTCACGCCAGCTCCATCCCGAAAACCACTCACCATGAGTCAGGCCAGCCCTTTGGAGACCTTTGTTATTTTATTGGAGTGTGGGCTGTGTATCTGTTTCCTGGCTTTTCAACCCGTTCAGCAGAGGTTTGGGTATTGCGCTCGGTGATTACGCAGTGAGAAATGAAATTGTTCTGTAATGTTTTTACACTGTGTGTTTTGTGAGGTCTGAGCCTTTTTCCGTATTGTACAGAAAGATGGTAGCAGGCGCTTGGGATTTCACAGCTATCAGTGTTATGGGCAGGCATTCAATAGCACAAAAAGTGCTATTTTTGCAGCTTAAAGATATGCATATATTCTGTAAGTCAAATTTTTGAACAAAGCGTCGCCCAGTGTGGCTAAGTTTGCCTTTTCCACTTATTCCTACAGGTGTTTTACGTCTCAGATCTCTTCAAGCCCAAGACAAAGACTTGCCTGCCTCCACCGCCCATCCGGAAGGAGATCCTTTCACCTGTGGACATCATTGAGCGGAATAACCATCACAACATGGTGTAGACCTTCGAGAAATCGGATGGATGTTGTATTTTTTTTTTTTTAGATTTTTTTTTTTTTTTCAAAAAATGACTGCTGACAGCAACTACCTGCTGCTCTCAAATCTCATCAGACAGTAGAATGTAGGGAGAGACTTTCTTGCCCGACCAGTAAAGTCTTACTCTGTGGTCTTTTCAACTTGCGACATTTGGATGAAAGGGGTGGTGGTCAACTAAGTCAAAAGCGACAATGAGAAAGAAAAAACAAAAACAAAAAAAAACAAAAGCCGAACAAACAAAGAGAGGTGCCGGAGTTCTGGATGTGCAATTGGTTTGAGTGTTCATGTTGTAGTGAACGCCAAATTGTTCATAGCCTAATGAACACTAAGGGATTTTTGGAAAGCTGGCCATCTTAATTTTTTTTTTTTTTAACTATGAAGATTTCCAATGCCTGCGAGAAAAAAAACAACTCATGACTAAATTGTATAGCACTATACGAGAAACAGCACTGAGTCAAGATCTGGGATTGGTTTGAAAGAGTTGCTTTTTTCTCTTTTTGATACTAGTTTATTTTTGCCTCCTCTATTCCATACTGTGACTTAGTTTAGAAGAAGCTTGCCCATTCAAAGATCTCCGAAGGGTCTCTGTTCACACTACACGCCTTTAACGAGCAGTCCTGAGATGCGCAGTGAGGCTGAATAACTCCATCCTCCGCGCAGAGAAGCCACATTTCTTCCTCTCCGCTCGCTCCCTGGCCAGGGTTCGTCCTGCCTGAGCCCCCGGGTGTGCGCAGCACCCACAAATGGCCCTTGATGAAAAGAGCATCCTCTGCTTCCCGGCCGTCCCCCCCCTCAAAAAATGGCAGCAGATTTTCTGCGCGCCCGCGGGAGCTGGCGGTTTGCAAGTGGGTAGCGGCGGCTCCGCCGAAGACGCGTTCGCACTACGACCTCGGGGCTGAGTCTCGGGGAAACTTTTATTCTGCAGTTTCGGGACGGGCTGCTGGGCGG